TTTGGGTATCACTGCTGGGTAACATGGATACTTCCTATTGGCTGTCCAGTGCTGGGGAACCCCCAGAATTTATAAGACTGCAGTGGCATAATGACATCACAAACAGGACAAAGGTCGGCATGGTCATAGACTGCAGCGCTGGATTCATGGTCGTGTGGAAGGTGTAATCTCTCTGCAAATTTCCAATACACCCCTTGCTGAGTCATATCTAGAGCGCTGTAGTCAGCAAAGCTCACGCTGCATGATAAAGCTCTCCAGTCAGCAAAGAAGGTGTGCTGTGATGTCTGTGACACCTCTAAATGTTATAACTATATATTACGTAGCATGCCCTTAACATAAATTTGAGCAGGCAGAATCTGGAGCAGCTTTGCATAATAAACGATCAAACAATACAAAATAATATGAAGCTACATACTCTGCGTTGTTGTGGGTTGGCACCCTGATGTCTCCAGGTGGCCTGTGCGCAACACTCAAGTGGGCTGTGCGACTCTCAGGAGCTCTGTGCACCTCTCAGGTGGGTTGCCTGGGCTTTGGTGTCTCACCAGGGGTCCGCAGGCAGACAGGAGGAGGAGAAGAAGGCAATGACAGATGCGGCTGCCAAGGTCCCTGGCAAGGGCGATCTTGGGCAGCCACATCTGCCTGAAACTGGATCTTCCTATTAGCTGCAGGCGCCTGTAAACAGGCACAGGCTGCCCACAGCTCAGAGGAAAATCCGGTTGCAGGCAGATGCAGCTGCCCGAGATCGCGCTTTCCGGGGACCTCAGCTGTCACATCTGTCAGAAGATGTAAAGTGCCGGCATTGAGTGTCTTGTGTCTGGGTGACCACTGGCTGCACACCTGGACACAAGACTCCAAAACCGGACTGTCCGGGTGAAAACTGAGCGGGTGGCAACCCTAGCCACTTTACCCCTTTATACTACTGAAACAATAAAAATGTAATGTTTAAAATGGCCGACTGTTTACAAGTAGAAGTCCTGCCTAACATAAGGTACCTGCCTATTTGTAGGCAGAAAACCCTTCCTTGAACTCCCCTTTAAAGCTAGTTTCACTTGGTTACTAGGGCTCTTTATATGCTGCACCAAATGCCATCTGTCTTACGAGTAATTAGCCACTAAGGGAAACACTCACAGAACAGAAAGATTGCAGCTGGCACAGCCCAGCGCTGATGTCAGTACAGTCTTGCCACTTGTAAAATAAAAGTACTTCTAGAAAGTCATATAGAGTAAAAGATGGGTATACACCAGTAGAACTTCATTTGAAAAAATTTGTTCGTTTGATTTTCTTATAGTTTATGGGCCCAAACTGATGACTGTAGTGACAAAAAAAAAAAAAGAAAAGAAAAGTTGAAAGAGCAGGATGGAAAATGTTTCTGAAGCAAATGAAATTCTAACAGTAAATGTGGTTTTCATTTGGGAAAATACATTCATTCTTAAAACAAATGTTAAAACCAAACAAAACTTCAACATTTCAAGTCCCGGATGGCATTATCGAATGTTCTCAGAAGAAAGGTATGAATGTTCGTACGAAAATCTACTAGTGTATGGCCAGCTTCAGCTTTTCTGGCCAACAATGTGAAGAGCAGTCATCTTCTGTTGCCTGATCGTAGGCAGGGTTTTTCATTTAAAAAAAGGAAATGTCTGATGGTTCACTTTAAGAGACAATTATGATGAAATGTGTGGGGAAGAACCATCTATTAAAAATAACTGCAGTGGTTTAAGAAGTATTAAAGCCTTTGGGTCAGCTGCCAGGCAGCTAATATGTTGAGATGAAGGTCAGCATTGGCAGCCACTATACTTGTCTCATGACAGGTTTACTTTACTTCAATTGCAGATGAACCCTTCCAGAAACAATAGTAGGTTTAATATGGCCTCCTATGCACAGGAAAAGACAATGACAATATAGCGTGATAACAGATACTTTTTAGGGGGGGAGAAAAACTGGCAAAAGGGGTCTAGGAATATTATATTACATGATGTCCCTTCAAATTCTGGCTCCGCAATGCAATTTGCATTTGATGTAGGTCTGTGATTTTTAGGGCTTTTTTAAAAATGATTTACATACTGTAAGGTATACATAACAACCAAATGACATTCAATAAAAATGATCAACAAGACCATCAATCAGAATTCAAATGGTTACATACTAGACAAAAATATAAAATAAGTTATCAAAAGGAAAATAATAGAAGGCCGGGATAATCAGCAACAAGAAAACATAATGCAGCTGATGGACCTCATGGACTACAGAAAATGAGCCAACACCAGCACCCATGCTAATCCATCCCCAAACCTCCATCCAAACTGTTTTACCATACACCCCCACCCCTTCCCCCAGAGCATTAGTCAGGTTCAAATGCAATGCCCCTGAAGCAATTTTAAATATTTCCAAGTAAATATTTAAATATTTCAAACTAGAACTTAAAAGAACAAAGTGGAAGATGAGAAAACATGAAAGATAACAAAACACAATGAACAAACGAAGGAGAGGATACCCCCGGAAGAAGAAGAAAAATAAGTTGTTTGCTTCTATACAGGGAAACTTTATTGCCACAGATCTTGTTGTAAGCTAGTGTTTAACACATGGTCTTAAAACAGAAAACTTCTCTGAAGTAAGCCATGTTATTGGATATAAGACACATAGCAACAAGAGACTCCAGCTATTTGATTCTTAAGATTTGAATGCAAAGCAGGATATGGGGTACTTATAACAGGTCCTTGATTGAAAAATGTCAACCACAGTGATTACATGGCAGATCAAAGAAGTATTACTCACAGCATTAACATCACAGGATGACTCACTGGCCCATATGAGGAAAATCTAATTAGGAACAGTTACTGAGCATTCCTTGGCTAGGCCTTTAGGCCCCATTGCCTTCACATGCAGCTGTCCTTTCACTATACAGAGGACATGCACAGCCGGAGTGCCATCTCAGTGCCCTGGGATATTGTGCAAAAACTCTGGTTCAGTGACTTGATACACTACATCTTTTTCTGCTTGCCGCAAAGCCAAAGTCTGATAAACAATACGCTTTAAAGCAAATATTCTGTCCATGGTTATTAAGTTGTCATGAAAGGTAATTCTTTGTAATAAATGCATAGCTCATTTAAAATATTTTCAGACAAGTGGATGATGGCTTTTCCTAACATTAGAAAGTAAAAGTAATTTCAGTGTTTGAAAAGTAAACTAAAGCTTCCAATTATAATGAAAAAAACAGATATCACTTTCAACACTGCACTTTGCATTCCATTCCTAAAATGTAAACAACAGTATATAGAATGCCGAATCTCTGCATAACACTGTAGAGAACCCACCACAATTAATGGACACACAATAGTCACATGACGTTGATGGGCCAGGAGGCCCATGGGTTATAGGCAACAATGGTCCTGAGTAGGGATATCCCGATAACAGAAATTTTCACGAGTACTAGTGAAAATGCCTCGATTATTAAAGGCCGATACCAGCCCTTTACATTTTTTAAAACTGCAGCGGCTATCTGAGTTCCCGCGCTTGTGGGAACTTCAGACAGCCTGGTGGGGACCTGGCAGTAGCTGTCCTTGGCTGTGCCTGTCCGGTTCTATATCTCCTCCTCCCCCTTCCCAGGCACAGTTATGGACAGCCCCACACAGTAGAGTGCAGCCCCGGAGCTGGCACCCGCCTGACCAACTCTCCACAGCATAGCCACAGAACTCTGTAGAGATTCACATGCTGCCCGGTGAGATCAGCACACAACCTGGTGAGATGTATTCTGCTCTGGGGACATCTGTATTTGGCTCTGGTGAGAAACTGCCCTAAAATCATCAGTCTGTGTTTTAGGAAAAATGTCACATGTCCCTTTAAGAAAAAGTATCAGTAATTGGTATCGGCAAGTACCTGAGGGAAAGTATGTGGTATTGAAAAAAGTGGTATTGGGACATCCCTAGTCCAGAGGATTGGGTTTGTCTATTTCCAGCTTTTCCCCTATTCATTCGAATAGTTGAATAGGGCTTCACTGGTCTCATTTACACGTCTGTGTTGCTGCAGTGAATGGTGAAACATGGTTACTGTGTGTGGTCATGTGTGTGTGCACTGTGGTGATATTCATAGTAAATAGTATTCCAACGCATTGTAGAGTAGTAGAGTGATACATTACATCACATAACACTGTTACGGTGTGCTGCTTTGCTAAAAAAAAAAAAAAGGATCATGTGCCATTATGACCCATTTTGGTGTGTTGGCAGTCCATTCACCTTAACACAATGCACATTAACGTGTGAAGTAACGCTCGTTAAAGCACCAAAACAGAAAACTATAGTATTAACCATCCCACGAAAACTCACTAATTAGTGAAATTAATTTACCTGTGTGCAAATGTACCATGTTAGACAGCTAGATTACCTCCCTAGTAATTTCCCAACTCCATTAAACATTGCAGAAAACACTAAAGCTCAACACACGTAGTTAACTTTCAGGTTATATTATGTTGATTGCACTGCAAATCTCAAAAAGTCCTGTCACTTTTTCAATTTCAACGCTGTGAGCATAGTTCTGTGGCTTCAGAGATAACAAATATAACCCACCAGAGCTGAAATACTAAATCTTACAGCCAATTAAGTGATGAACATGAATAAAAAATGAATTAGGCACAAGACGAAATTACCTTCTCCTACATCTGAAATGTCTTGACATAAAATTGGTAAACTAAATTTAGGGAAACCAAAGATCTGTCTTATTAGAGTCACAGTAATACAATTATCTTAAACTTTGATGAGCCCCTGGCTTAGCTAGGAAGCTATGTCACCGTGAATAGACAACTACAAGACTCAGAACATTGTTCTTGGATGAAAAATGGGAAATCTAAAGCCCAGTTCCGGGCTGCTTTTAAACTTGAATTATAGTGAAAGTCTTTCCTTTTTAGGCATATATCTACCGCTAGGAAGCTGTAAATATATGTCCCATGATTTATAAAAAAAAGTAGGCAAATACCTAATTACTTAACTGTTCCAGCGCCACTTACTCACGGCTGAAGAACTCCCGGCTCCCGAATGGCTGTGAAGGAGGAATTGTGCAGGCGCAGTAGAGTGTAGGGGGACAAAACACAATGACAATGAATGGACGCAGCCGGGCAGCCAGGAGCGCACCCACAAGGAGTCTGCGCTCGATCAGAGACCGTCACCACGCTGTACGGACTGTCGGAAATGGGTGAAATTAAGAAGTTGATTGCAGCAAGAGGCATTAAATAAGGTAAGTGCTTACAGCGGCACTGGGAGGGAGAAAAAAAAAGTGCGTTTAACCCCTTCTCGACCTATGACGAGCCTATGAGCCTGCGACCGTCTTTAGAGTAGAAGCGATTATGGTGGCTCAGCTGCCACCAGATCGCTTCTACGACCCGGTAACCAAGCTGCCCTCCCCCGCCCGACAACCCTACCGTGTTTCCCGGGCTCCGCTGCCCCTCCTTCGGGCCCGGGACTGGCTTGCTGGGTGTCAGCAGGAAGCTGGGGATGAGAGCAGCGAACATCTGTTCGCTGATCCCCTTCCCGCTCTATAGGACCGGGAGCGACGCAGATTGCATCACTTCCGGTCCCATAGCTGTCAGTGCTGGGAGCTCACGCTATACTGAGCTTGGGTGACGGGAGGACGCTAGTTTGTGTCCTCCCGTTACCCTTAGAAGAACTATGGGGAAAAGCCCTGACCCCATAGTTCTCCTTTAAAGAAGCCTTTTGGAGTATCAGAAATCTGCAGCGTGAAAAATTAGCAATGAGTCAAAAGCCAAGTCTCTACACTTCGACTTGATACAATTTCGGCTTTGCTCAATAAAAAGCATGCGCATGATCCATTTGATCGGCATTTTAATGTGCCAATATTACATATGTGAGCTGTAATAATGTATAGTGAAAGTGATATGAAAGTCAAAAGGTTTGTAAGCTATTTCAAATGCTGATTAAATCACTTACAATGGATGCTACTTCTTGATGTTTAAAAGTGTTGGGTTCCTGCAGAATCAGCTGCTCCCCTGAGCACTGGCCCTGATATGGGAAATGGTGTGAACTTGCTCTTAGGGCGGCTCCTTTCCGTTGCAGGATAATATGGAGCCACCAATGTCTGTGCTAGTAAGCTGTGTGCGTTTCTACTAACACACAGACACAGCAAGACAAGACACCCCTGTTTCCCTCTCCTCCCTTCTCTAAGCTAGTAGATGGACAGCTGCTGGAGACTGCTCTCTCCCTTGTGATCTTGTACTGGACAGAAAGTTTAGGGAAGCCGAGGTGAGAGAGTTGGAGCTGTTCCGAAACATGATGACTGTAAGTGCTTGGGCAAAGAAAAACTTTGCTAGGCAATGTATATTGTTTGATCTGGATTCATTATTTAAAAAAATTGAGAGTTTAATACTACTTAAATCAATACCGTTAACCTTTATACCTACTGCACTATTTCACAGATCAATCTTGTAAAAACAAAGTTTGCCTAAAAAATGGTTGGGATGCCAAATGAAACATGTGCTGTATAAGAAGTAAATGCAGACACTAAAATGTTCCCTCTGGCCTTGTACAGGCTAGGCCGGTTTGGAAACAAAACCTGTGAATCATTATGGGGGATGGTTGCTGAAAAGAGCAAAAACTTACCTGTCAACGGATATGTCATGAAGTGAAAGTGGAACTGTACTAATCAAAGTCAATAAAGACACTGCTGATTCCAACAAACACACGCAATGCAGAGCTGGCATTTAGCAAGGGACTTAACATGACAACTTGAAGTCATCTGCTCTGAACCTGAAAAGTCATAGGGATCTCCCTTTATGGCTCATTGGTAACTTTCCAAGACACTCCATTCAACACATCCCTAATATATCCAAATGAACCCATTCATTTATATTGGCTTTAAAAACACAAAATCAAGGAACAAGAACAAAAACAAACATTGTCCTCATAAGTCAAGTGTTTCATAATCAGCGTAAATATTTAAAAAAAAACAACTTCCATTGCTTTCAGTCAACCAGACTAGAGAAATCAATTGCCAATCAAATTTGTAAGAATTGTGAAATGTCTGTGTTTGCAGTTAAATGAAAATACCCAGACACATGACTGAAAATTATGAAATAGCTACTAAAAAAAAGGGGGGAGTTTGATGCACTAATGCCCAACATTAGTCCAGGCCTAGATTGAGCGCCCTTTTTGTGATGGAAAGTACAGAGACCACAGAGTCTTTAAAAGGGTGGAGCCACCTGATGACTTCTTAGATAAATCGTGAATTTGTAAAATGCAATTCCCCCCAGTTCAGGGAGTCCCAAATAAATGTTTTTTTTGCCCTGAGAGTGGCAATCACTGGGTTCCCATTGCTAAAAAAGATCACACCATGTAAGGTGAGTCAACCCAGAACGTTTAGGTCCATTCAGAGGGAAGCGGGGAGGGGAGAGAGGTACAGGCAGATACGGCCAATACTGCTTATCTCACAAAGAACAATATCACTTGCAGGACCGTAGCAAGGGCGAGGCAACTGAGGCTCTCGCCTCGGACGCAGGTGCAGGGGAGGGGGTGCAGCCAGCAGGGAGAAGTGGGGCTTCTCCTCTGGGTCTCCGCTCCTCTCCCCCATCTGCATGCAGCGGGGATCCGAGGAGAAGTATAGGAAGCTCTGCAGTCGCGCACGGGGGGAGGCGGAGCCGCTGTCACAGCAACATGGCCGAGTAGTGAGGAAAGAGAGCCGCTTGGCCAGGATGAGAGCTGCTTGGCCAGGATGACAGCGGCAGCTCTCTCTCTCTCTCTCTCCTCACCGCTCGGCCATGCTGCTGTCACACCGGCGCCGTCCTCCCTCCCCCCATGGCTGCAGCGCTTCCTTCACTTCTCCTCGGATCCCTCTGCCCATACAGGCGGGGGAGAGCAGCGGGCATCCAGAGGAAAAGCTGCAGGCTGGGCCCCCCTTTGTGCGTGGCCGAGCGGCGCAGGATCGGTACATATCAGTGATATGTTCCGATCCTCTGTGCAGAGAAGATGCTGGAGCGATCAGCTGATCACTCCAGTGTTTGTAAGTAGTACTATGTGTTCCCAGTAATGAATGAACAGGAAGCGCTTTACATCACTTCCTGCTCATTCGTGAGTTTCTCAATGGGGAGTAACACTCTGTACAGAGGCTTCTCCCCATTCAGAAACTGGATAATAGTAAACAAACATTTTCTGAATGAATGGGAAGCCTCTGTGCTTTCCATTCATTTAGAACAGAGTCTTCTCAATTGAGTGTCCTCAATGTCTTTTTCTATTTTAAATAGG